AAAAAAAAAAAAAAAAAAAAAAAAAAAAGGGAAGAAAAAAGATAAATTAGAGATTTATTTTGGATCTTCAAGCATAACTGTATTTATTGCTCTTTCCGCAGTTTTCTGACTTTCAAATATTTTTCTTTGATAGGTGTGTCCTATCAAAATATTTAGCTTCATTCCAGAGTAAAAGAACATTAATGGTGTTCTTCTAATACTATCTTAGCTGAAAACTGTGCCAGACTGTGAGGGTCACACCCTTGCTAATACCAACACTGTCATGCTGTAGCAGTGAATCCTCTCTCCCCAAAATATCCAGGGTAAATCTCGAACTGGGATCTTTACAGAAGTATCCTTAATCAGGCAGGTCTTACTGACTTGTGACAACTGTGCCAGGCCAAGTTCCTAACTCACATCCTGCCATCCAAGTTAAGCAGCTTACTGAGAAAACCTGATACTGACAGCCAATTTATGTAAACTTGCAGGATGATGACATTAAACACACTCAGAAGCAAGGGAACAGTAAGTACTACCTGATGTTCTTTGGGTCCTATTTCTTACTGAAAGTGTTTCCTGATGATGTAATTCAAATCAATTATTGGTCCAAAGGCTTGGCTGACAGCAGCAATAATTTAAAATAATTTCTGACATTCCTAAGCATTCTTTTACTCTTGCCCTTCATAGGAAAACCTGAATATCTTCATGTCACCATTACAGCTGTATTAGTTCTTCTAAAGCCACTTCCTGCATGTACACATTGTCACACTGCTCTTACTGCTACACCTTTCCACATCTCTGCAACAGCACTGTTGTGATTGAAGAGTGGACTGTACTATGTGGTTATATTTCTTCTAATCTTTCCTTCATCTCACACACATTTATCTGCTTGTTTTCCTTACAACTTGCTACAGTAAGATAGGAGTTTATGCTGGTGAAGTTGTCAGATACTTCTATAGATAGCACAGTCTTCCTAGAACACCACAGGTTTTGTATTTGTTCAAAAAGTAGAAATTGCTCAAGTTATGTTAAAAAGAAAGGAACTATCGACCATATTCTTGACTAATGGTTCCTCTCATACTTCTAACTGCCAGTGAATAATGGTAGTAAAAATGCAAAATAAGAAGTAAAACAGGCTGCTGGGAGTAAGGAGGTAAGGAAAATAACATGTATTTGGAGTTTCTTAGCATAGTGCGGTGTTTTCTGTAAGCCTTCTGGCAGATGTTTTTTCTCATTACGAAGTCTATCTAAAGTTTATTAAAAAGGATTGGACACTGTTCCTAGCTTCCCACTGATACTCTTGGCAAAGCACAAGTCAAATTAGTTACTGATCCACAGTGTGTAGCTCTAAAACCCTGCAGAGCTATGCAGGATGCAGAAACATTTTTCAGAATTTGCTTTAGATGTTCCAACAGTCTTTGTGCATGGCCCACTTATCTTCCCATAGGGAACAGGGATTATTAATATGGACACCCAATATTATGCCAACATTCAAGCTACCATCTCCTAAGGAAGTAGATTTACAAAGCTACAGAGCAGCAGTTTTTTGCTATACAGAGATGAAGAATGAACACAGAACTCTTACCTTCAGCTTCTCTCCAATCAAATTTTCAGCAGTGCCTGTGCAATAATAAAAAACATTTACTCAGGTTCCTCCTTCAGTCAAGGTCTGCATGGCCCAAATTTATTGTAGAGACAAGTTATCTCTCCTGTTCCTAATGAGTCCCCTCAGTGAAATTTAACCTGCATTTTGTGTACTAAGATACATTTAAGGTCCTTGGTGAAGGTATTTGTTTGGTTGTAAGTTTCTATCTTGCTTATTAAAATAAATTGCATTATCTTAATCCCTACAAGCCAAACTGTAGAAACTGTCAGCTTTCATTTCACCCTTTCCTTGAGGCTGAAGGTCAAATATGTTGCATTTCCATACTGTGTAGCAGATGGCAGGGTTTCATCTCATTGTTCATGTCCCAGATATACAAGCTATTTAGAAAGTACTGGTTTTCTTACATTTAAGTTTAATAAAGTTCTATAATACCAAAGACTGTTGTTTAGGAAAGTTCTTTATTTCACAGAATTTCATCCTTTGTTCATACTTAGATTTGGGGAAATCTATCCACTGCTGTCAAAAATGATCTTATCAACATCAAGACAGGAGGTCACTTTTCAGACTCTGCCTTGTAATAACTTAGTATCAGGATTTGCTATGAGTAAATAAAGACTAAACCAGACTTTTGTTATAAAATAAGATGGTAAACTGCAAGTGTCAGTGCTGCATATGAGAGTCAAAGAGAACAGAAAAAGGAACATTCAAAAGGAGCAAGAAGAAAAAATATTGGAGTACATCCCAGAGGAGTATCTAGAGCCATTCATTATAAAACAGTGTATTTGCAGAGGTAACCCTGAAACTGTGCCTGCATTCTGCAAGCAGTCCCAGTACAACTTCATTAAATACATGTATTTAAAGACTCAGAGATAACAACCAGTAACAACAGAAAAGCTTTAAACACACAGATCTCAATGTACCAAGAGTAGTAAAAATGGATACAATTATCTAAGTAACTAAGCAAACTGCATTCTACAAAGAGAAATACAGTGTAGCTTAGAATCATCGGAAAAAAGACAATACCCACAAAACACAAATCACAAAGGCTAAGAAGGAAAAAAAGAGTCTAGAAGAAAATAATAATTTGCTTTAAATGGTTAAAACATTTTTGGTTCTGTTTTTTGAAAGAAATAATTCTAAACTGGCACCTGAAGTAGAAGGAATACCACATTTATACACATCACACAGTAAACAGAAAGAAAACTGCAAGATATTAAAAAATACTTTAAAATCAGTAAACTATTTAATTAACAGGAAGTACAAAGAGGTTTTCTGGCACTGCATTAGAAGGACAGCTTCAATAAAAACATTTCATTACCATGCTGATACCATAAATGACATCCTAGTTGAACTATCAAAATATGAATTTTGCAGTCTGAAATAGAAGTGCAATAGGAGAGAGACTCAAGTGGGAAGCCCCCTCTAGCCTTCCACCATTCTTTTAAGGATGGCTCCCAGGCCACCCTTTGCCACTTTCAGTGGGGTCAGCTCTTCTTTATTCTCAATGTGAATACTTGCACCATGAGACACCAGCAGCTTTGCCTCCTCCACTCTCTCTTCATCGCAGGCTAAATGACTGCAGTGAGAACAAGAAACCCACAGCCACTGTTAAACTGTCCAAGCTTTTAATGAGCAATAATTACATTATGTCAAAATCACAGTGTGAATACTGGGGGGAGATACATCTGAGAACAACAAATCCACAAGCAGCCAACTACCTAGACAGATTCCAAAGCTTGCTGTCCAGTTCCTCTGCTATCATTATGCAACTCAAGAACACTCTTCCTGCTGATCTCCTTGCAATGTTAAGACAGTTCTTTGGGTTAGGATTTAGCTCTGCAGTCAGCAAAGCTAAAGAGGACATAATCCTTGGTGAGAATGGAAAATGGCAATCTCTGTTAAATTGAAGGTGAGAAGTAAATTATCCAATACTAAAAAAGAATGAGTTACTGCAAATGCTTTTTTCCATTTGGCACAGCGTCTTAGGAAGAATGGTGTGCATTCCAGGATCATACTGGAGTTTATGTACAGCTAAAACATACTGCTTGATCTTATTCCCAGCAAAATCTGGATTCCACTGTGGTTTTGACACCAACTTCAAAGTAGCTGTGACCCGTACAGATTCAAATTGATCTCTAATGAGAGGTGAAAAAAAGTTTCTGAAATGAGTTCTTGCTTGGCATGGCAGAGTAGACCAAGCCTACAAGACCAGTTTCGTCTGACTGATGTCACTAGCTCACTTTCTACCCTGTAGCAGCAACCAACATATTCCAGATTAATACAAGAAGTGCTCTACACTCTTTAAGTAGATGCAGTAACACAAATTAAAATTTCGTATTTTGTAACACATTTTTAAATTTTGAAACACAAATTTAAAATTTTAAAATTAATTACTGTATGCATGTCCAGACCACTAGTATGACTAAGTATGACGTTCTGAAATACTTTTTAATTGCACAGGGATGTGAAACAAGAGAGTATTTCGAGGAAACGAAAAATTAAAAAAAAAAAAAAAATACATTGAAGTGATGGAACTTCATTTCACAGAGATTATGCTATATTAAGCAAAATAAAAATTAAAAATTACTTACAGAGGAGTATTCCCTTCTGAGTCCCGTATATCCACAGTTGCATTGTGCTGCACAAGGATCTGTACCATTTTTAGGTTTCCTTTGGCTGCTGCTCTGTGTAATGGGGTGGATTCAAAATGATCTGTTGCATCCGGATCTGCTCCATTCTCCAAAAGCATGATTGCAATCTGAGTATGTTGAAAGAGAAAGGAGTGGGGGAGGAGGATGTGGACTTAATACACCTAAATCCTTCTTCCAAGAATACCACCAGCTCCAGTAGCTTAGGTAAACATACCTCCTGCTTATTTTTGGAGGCTGCATAATGCAGGGGTGTGCAGCCATTCTGATTGACAGCATTTACATGAGCACCCTTAGCAATAAGGGCTTTCACAATTTCATCACGGCCTGCTGAAGCAGCAATGTGCAAAGGAGTCCAACCAGCCTACAGAGGCAAGAAGAAGATCCACATTATTCAAACCATGAGTTTCAGGCACAAAAACATGATAATGCATAACCCAGAAAAACCTGAACTACTCACACTGCACATATTCTTACCAGTGTAAAGCTAAACATTATTGGTTTTTGCTAGATGCAAGGCTCATGTCTTCTTACATGCCTGCATTGAGTACCTGCAAAAAGCTGCCAGTTAAATGAGAAAAATCACTTCTGCCATGCAGTTATGCATGGTATCTTTACAGAACACTTTATCCCTGCAGAATTCACACTTGTGCCTTTTTAAGAAGAAACAGCAGTAGTAGAAAAGGGTGTTAAAAAGTTTCTGTATTTTTTTCTATATCCTACTTTCTAAAGTCATGAGGCATTTCCTTCTTTATGGATGACATTTAGATGCTTTGTAATGGATGCAAATATTTCAACACTTCCTCTAGAACAGGAGCAGGCTATCTCCTTTCCAACTGTGAAATCACTGAACCTGCATCTGCCTTATTAATGCCTTCCCCAAAAGAAGAGAAATCTTCAGGGTGCCTCATGATTCAGCACAACATATTTGAGAGATCACACTGAGATAAAGCTAATGTGAAAACCACAAGAACCACCCAAACACCTCTAGTTTTCCAACTTCCTTCATAAGAACAGCTCTCCTAAAGTTCCAGGACAATAAACAGGTCTCAAATCTCGTCCTCACGCCTATTTCCATAAGAAGTATGAAATCCTTCACCCTGCCTTTCTAGCGCACACACAAAGCCTGAACTTGCCCAAGTAACAGATACGGCGCTGGGCGCACCAGCCGGCAGGAGGAGGGGAAGAGGGAGGAAGGGAGCCCCGCAAGGGGCTCCGGGAGCTGCTCCCAGCCGCTGTCAGGGCCCCTCTGCGGATGAAACCATGACAGCAACGGGCCCGGAAGCATCTGCGCACCAGGACCGCCCCGCACAGTGGCCCACGGCTCCCTCAACCGCGCCGGGGCAGGGCCGCGGCACTCACATCATCCTTATCGTTCACAGGCACGCCGAGCCCGAGAAGGAGGTCTGAGACGTCCGTGTGTCCCGCCGAGCAGGCCCAGTGCAGCGCGGTGCGGTGATCCTGCGAGAGGAGAGGCCTGCGAGTGAGCGGGGCAAGGACGGGGAGCGGCTACGGGGAGCGGCTACGGGGAGCGGCTACGGGGAGCGGCTAGCAGAAGCCGCCCCCAGGCCGCCCGGGGCCGCAGCCGGCTGACCTGGTCGGCCCGCGTGGCCTGGGCCCTGTCGCGGAGCAGCAGCGTCCGCAGCTCCTCGAGGCGCCCCGCAAACGCCAGGTTACACACGACCAGATCCGACACCGCACCCTCCATGTTGCCCCCGTGCCACCCCGCCCGCGGGGCGGGCCAAGCCCGCGAGCCACCAATCAGAAGGGCGCAGGGGCCCAGTCCACCCAATTGCGCCTGTTCGCTTGCTCCGCTCTCCCCTCGGGCCGCGGGGGCTGCTGGGTTTTGTAGTCCCACGGGGGCACGGTCGGTGAGCTCCCGGCGGGCGGCAGGACTGCAGCTCCCAAGGCGCCCCGCGGCGCTGCCGTGTTGTGCCTGCGTGTCGGGGCAAAGGGGAGGAGGATGGTGACATCGGGAGGATGGAGGCCGGTGAGGGGCTCGGGGCGCGGGCACGGTTGGCGGAGCGGCGCTGAGAGGCCAGGCAGGGGTTCCGGGGATCCAGTAGGGCCGCCGGCGGCGGGAGACGCCCGTGGGCTGAGAGGCGGGTGGGGGCGGCACGGTGCGATCCGCCGTGAGGGGTCGTCTTGCGCTTGGGGTCCCGCGGCCTCTCCTGGGGCCGTGGCTGGGGGGGCTTGGGTGGAGGCAGGGGCGCGAGGGGGTTCGGCTGCCGCGCGGGGCGGCCGGAGCCGGGGGGCCGGAACTGGGTCTGCCAGCCCCGCTCCGGGAGGCGCCGCTGCTCGGTAGGGAGCGCTCTAGGGGAGCGCCGGGAAGGATGCCCTGGGAAGGGAAAAGAAACCCTGGCGGTACCTTCTCAAGTGGTCCGAAGTGTGATACGGCAGCAGGGGCGAGAGAGGTGTCTGCGAAGGGGGCGCAGGTGCCTGCGGTTGGATTTCGGGGGTCGAGACTATCTCAAGTCTTTGGACTCAAAAATAGATAATTTGCTCTCGAAGTCCAGTGAGTGACGATTTTTCTGACGGAGAATGCAGAGCACGGTGCGATTTTTGCTGAGCTGAGCTGACAGCAAAGCTCAAAGTCGTGGTGTTTAATTACTTCCTGTGGGGACTAGGAATATTGGGACTCGGCAGCGTTGGCCCCAGTGCTCCGGCCAGAGGGTGGTGCAGCTCCCTTTTAATGGATGGAATGTATATTTCTTTAAATGGAGTCTTACTTTATATATATACCGGATATATGTGCACTTATTTGAAAAGTAGAATAAATCGTTTGCTTTCATTTTTAAAGTCTGATTTTTTAGCAGTATATTCCTTAAGATTATTATCTAAAATAAATGATTTTACATTAATTCTTACACTTGAAGTGTTGTTTCACTCTTTCAGAAAGCACCATTTTAATGATCTAGAAAATGGTTGGACTGTCTTCTTTTGGTAGTATTAATTATCATTTGTTATTTTTCACTAAATAGATGTGATATTGAATAATAACATCAGTACATCTTTTTTTTTCTGAAGTGTTAAAAATCTCCACTTTTTAAAATCTCCAGATTAAAAATCTCCAATTTTCCAGTTGGGAAAGTAAAGCCCAGTCTTGCTAACACTTTTCACATGCTTCCCATTAAGCATGAGGCCGTAATCACTCTGTTTTGTATTTTTTCTGCTTTTCAGATCAAGCTGTGGTGCCTAATTTTTTTTTCCTTTCCTTATTATCTTGAATCAAATCTCATCCTCGCTGAAGTCATCTTGAACTTCTGTCACTGGCTTCAGTGAGATATAATCAAGGCATTACTCCTGGTGTTCTCTCAGCACTCACTGAGGATCTAAATAAAAACCAAGGCATTGGCTATTTCAGTGTCAGAAGAGCTTTTAAGGGAGAAAATTAAAAGCAGCTGGCAGCACTGCTCAGAAGCCCCAAAGGCTGCAAAGATTTGCTACAACTGGTTTAGTTTGAGAGCTCCAAGTTTTGTATAAGAGAACAAGGGGATAAAATGGAGTTTGAATTTTGTGTATTCCTGTTCAGTTTTATCTAGGTATGAAAACCAGATCACTATTTTGTCAGATTGCTTAGAAGAATTTCCAGAAACTGATGAGCCAGTGTGGATTTTAGGAAGGCAACACCACCTAAACACAGGTATCTTTAGAATTAAAATAACTGTAACATCTGTAGAATATTCATAGGTTTACATGCAGCAACAGCTCCTAATTTCCTTATGCTCCCTAAATGTCTCATGAGGGACATTTATTCTTCATCCGTGAGACACCAGGTGTAAGCAGTGGCATTCCTCTTGTACAGAAATCAGAACCAAAGTCAATGTGCTTCCAACTGTAATTCATGCAATATGATCACACTTGTAGCAAAGGCTGTCAGATGTGAACCTGGTCACTTCACAACATCAGGGCCTCAGAAATAAATATATAAATAACTTTTGGAAAATATTTAGCATTACTAATGTCATTTTCCTGTGAGAGATGCTGTCTGCAGCCTGTTACTTGCAACTAAAATGATATTTCAAATAACAATAATAAGTTAGTCATGACCTAAAAGTCAGAATAATGTGTTTATATAAAAATAAGATTTCAGAAATGAGTTTTTCTCCCAGGAGAGAATACAGCAGCATCCTCCTGTGTTACATATCAAAGGCAGTGGCCACCAATGCAGGCACGGTGTTCAGGACAGCCAAGGGTGTTGCATGCAGCCTTGATCAGCTGGAGAATCCTTTGGAAAAGCCAACCAGTCTGAGCCACAGCTTAGGGAAAATGCAGCAAGATTCTTAAGCATTCTTCAGAGCCTTTGGAGAATTCTGAAAGTGCATGTGTTTAAACAAACAAGAAAAACTACAGAGGTTTAATCCAGTTAAACATTATTAACCTTTCCTTATAATTACTTTCTTTTGGGTTTGGAGGTAATGTATAATTCCATGTTGATCTGCATGTAGAACTTCTTAACCTGCTTTACCAGTTCTTTCCTGAAGACGTAGTTCTCCAGAGTTGTTTTATTCAGGCTGGATATCGTCATTCCAAACACCTTATAAAATTTCATTGGGTAATAATTATTTCATCCTTCATAAGTTAACTAATGAGCAGTCTGCAAGAGCTCTCTGTGTTTGAACTGCTAAAAATGTTTTAAGAGTCTTGTATATAAAAGCTAAAATGAGCCTTCCATGGACTCTATATATTGACTGTACAGGGATAATTTGAATTTTTCAGTTTTAAGTCTGTTTTAATAATTAATTTCCTCTTAAAATTGTTCCAGACAAATCTAAGTTATTGTTGGATATAAGTGGCCGTCTCTGGTTTACGTATAGAAGAAAGTTTTCACCTATTGGTGAGTATTCAGCATTCCAGCTGCCTGGTTATGGGTTAGCAGAATTAGTGATGATGTTTGGGACTAAGAAATTATTTTTCCAGTTCTAGAAAGTTTTGATCATAATTTAACTGTGTATGCAAACTAAAGATTAAAGCTATTAAAATCAGTGTTTGCTTGTTCCTGTATATAATCAGGTCTTCATATATTTATGGGGCAAGCAGTCAAGTGACACCAGCACTGTGGAGAGAAAGGAGCTGGCTCAGTGCCTTTAAACTGTACAACAGTTATTAGAGGTTTGAGAAGTTCTTTCAGAAGTTGGGCTCCCTGTAGAGCCTGTGCTGACTGTAAGCAACTTCGTTCGCAGGAGGCACTGGTCCGTCATCTGATGCAGGCTGGGGATGCATGTTGAGGTGTGGGCAGATGATGCTGGCCCAGGCGCTGATCTGCAGACATTTAGGAAGAGGTGAGTACTGTTGCTGAGGCAACTTCTGTTCTATTTGGAGGCTGTTTAATTTTTGTTGTTGTTGTTATAAATACAAAGGCAGATTTGGGTTAAATAAAAACAATTTATTATAAAACAATTTCTATAAAAAAATAAACAATGAGGAAAAACCACAATAAAACAAACAGCGCAGCGCTGGGTGGACAGGGGTCTATACCCAAAGGTATAGGTGTTCCCAAATCCACGAAGGAGGGTAAACTGTCCGGGGTTTTTATAGGGATTTTTAGCCTTGAGGCCAAATTCCAGGCAGGCACCATTCATCAACAGTCCTTGATTGTCGTATGAATTGATTTCCTGGCGTTGGAGAATAGAGTCGAATGGACGTCCGGACCGAGTCTCCTCATATGTAAAGAAATTCTGAGTGGCTCTTGTGGTTCAGGCCATCCGGATGGGATGGCTGGATCCGGGTTGGAGCCGATGGATATTTCGGCTGGATTTTTCCTTTTGTTTACTTGATGGCTTCCCCCAACGGTAGCCCGCAAGGCGAGGTGTTCAGGTCCGGTGATGAATATCTAGTCGGAGCCTCTCCGTTTTAGCTTGATGTTTCGTGTCCTGTCTATTCTTCCCTGTTGATGGTCACCGAGCCTGTCCTTGTCAGTTTGAGGAGTTTTTTTTTCTGTCAGCTTGATGGGCCGCGTCCTGTCTATTCTTTTTGTTGATGGGCGCCGGCTAAGATCGTTATCCTTTGAGTGGGAATTCGTAGCTAGATCTGGGAAGGGCTTGTGTGTCATACTGTACTTTATATTTTATATCATTATTGTTATATACATTTATTTAGATTTCTACGAATTTTTACAAGTTCATTTCTCACATTGTTTTCTATAAAAGCATAAAACTTAAATTTATTAATGAAACTTTCTGTGATGCTCTGATAAAGTTACTAGTCAACTGTTCTTGTCTGATGGGGCAAAATCATGTCAGCCTTAAGCAGTGAAACAAAAACAGAGGCAGAACAAATAGGGAATCCCACTGTTGTTATTTTATAAATCTTTTTGAAGAATACCCAAGTTGAAGCCAAGGGAAAACTTGACACCATGGGTCTGAGTTCTTCCCCTCTTTGTGTTACATAGCCACCAAAATGCAAGCCCAAGGTGATGGTGTGAGGAGTGATAGACACCACACAAAGTACTTCACAGACCACTCACCCATCATCAGCCTGAATCCAAACCACACAGCAGACCCCAGTAGTGCCTGCTCTTAATCCTGTACTAACAGGATTATATCCCAGGGTCTGTGTGTTACTCTTCTGTCAATTACCTTGCTGTGGTTGTGTCTGTGATCCTTATGGTCTTTTGTAACGGTTTCCATGGCAGCATGATTTGTGGATTTATCACTTGAATAGCTGAATCCACAGAGCAGTAGTGCAAAGATTTAACTGAAAAAGTAGGCAAGCAAATGTATTACCTGAGAAAAACTAGACCTTGAGCTTGCAGTGTGGATCTAAATAGCATCAGCCCTGTATATGTGCTTCTCTGTTAGTAAATGTGATGTAACTACCTTATGTTAGAAGCAGAAGCTCACATGGCAAAGCCATGATTTGGATTTTGCTGTGGGAGGGGGCCAGCATTGTGTTTGGACTTTGCTTTATGAGTCTTATTATCCTACAAATGCTTGCAAATCTAAAAAAGTCCGAACAGAACAGATAGTTTTAAATGGTCTTGGAAGCTTACACAGAGCAATAGCTATCAATTTGCAGCAATGATCACTCAGGATATACTTGAAGTTGGCATTGTTCTTTTAGTTTCTCAATTTTCACACGATAGCATGTGATGATAAAGCTTGATAATAAATGACAAGGTGTGACTTCTAGGATCTCTAAATAACATGTAAATATTAGAGATGGATTGTCTCTTAAGATCTCATTGTATGGCTTTCTGCCATCTAGAAATTTGATCAGTACAATGAAAACATTATTTTTTAATTTGTATAACTTTTTTCCTGAAAGATTGGCAATGGGAAAAACACAAAAAACAACCAGAAGAATATAATAGAATTTTACAGTGCTTTCTGGATAGAAAGGATTGCTGCTATTCCATCCACCAGATGGGTAAGAACACACATCAACTTCCTTTTTTCTACTCAAATTCCTATGGTGTTGAAACTTTCTCATTTGAAATAAGTTAATTCCAAATTTTTAGAAGGTGATTATGAGGACAATGTATATATTTATATATAAATGAAAATGTATGCAAGTGGGTGCAAAGTATAATAATTCAGAAATATTATTCACTAAGACTTAATAAATCTGTACTCTAGAATCTGGCTCTTGAGAAAGTGTACAAGTTTTGGGTAGCAGAGTTGATAGTATTAAAATAGACAGTAAACTGCTGTAATTTGCTAAATAAAGTAATTATGTGCTCTAGAATGTTTGTCAAGATATTAGTAGGCCATGCTATTTGACATAGACTGTGACCAGCCTCTCTGTGGTCTTTTCCTGTGTGTGTTTTCCCTTATAAAAACAGCACAGATGGGTGTTGGAGAGGGGAAGTCCATTGGAGAATGGTTTGGACCAAATACAGTTGCTCAAGTACTGAAGTAAGTCATGGCAGTGGCTCCCTCAATACTGTGCTCCCAGGGCTGCTGGGCTCAGAGATTGCGCAGTGCTGCCTGAGGCTGCTGGAGAAAACCTGGAAGCTCCTCCTAGTGTGGAAGCCACACTAGAGCTGACTTTGCTGAGGGATAGGCAAATGTGCCAAATTTCAGGTGGAGGCTGGACTGCAGGTCCTGGGTGCCATTTTCTGCAGCCCTGGGACAGACACATTCTGGAGAGAGAGAGGAGTTAAAGGATGTCCTGGCCTCCAGCTCCTTTCCCTTACAAATTCTTCGCGAGTCATATACCAGTTTTTCAGGCTCATTTTAGACAACCAACACTGCCTGTGCAGCCTAAGAGCTCCCTTCCCCAGAGTTCTGGATGTCACACAAAGTGAACATTATGCCACCATCCTAACTTTTGTGTGCCAAAATCTTGAGCTGCTCTGGCTTTTAACAGCCTGAAATAGTTCCACTGAGTTTAGTGGAACTTCTTAAGCACAAAGTAATATCAAAAGCTGGCATAGGAATTTTTTTATTCTCTACATGATATCAGGCACCATAGGCAGAATCACACAGCGGAATCTGTTAATTGCAATAAAAAGTAATAAACCATTATGTGGTTGAACTGTTACTATTCCTGCATTTGTCAAAAGGACAAAATAGTTTGCACATGGTATAGTGCGTGTTTTTCCTGGAACCACTCATTATTTTTTTCTAAATAGTGTTAAACACTAAAAGTTATCTTTTTACTACATGGAGACTTAAAAAAAAAAAAAAACAACAGATTTTTTTTCCAAATAAATGACTTTTTCATTCAATAACCATTTAACTGTTGTGTGTTAAAAGCTACCCTCATCGTCCTAGTAAGCTTTTATTAATTATTGCCTTTATGTCTTTTAGGAAGCTTGCTTTATTTGATGAATGGAATTCATTAGCAGTTTATGTATCTATGGACAATACAGTGGTCATTGAAGACATCAGTAAGTGAAACAGGAATTTTTGCAGGACTGTTGTCTCAGCAGATATTAAAGAGTAGCTAATGCTCGTGGCAGATTTGATTGTTTAGACAAGCTACTTCTGGGAGTGTTAGGGTAGTGGTAGATTTGATGTCATTAAAGGTCTTTTCTGGCCTAAATGATTTGATGATTCTGTGATTATTTCCTTGGTGACAGTTTTTGATTTGACTTCACTCTCCTGAATGTATCCAAGTGTGAGCAAAATCTTGGGATCATCCCTGTTCCCAGGGTAAGAAAAGGAATAAAGGAAATGGATACTCAGGTTTGGGGTTTCCAAAAGTAAAGCTTGCACAGAGCAGTGAGGCATTTTTAGTGACCAACTTAACATGTGGATGAGAAGGTGGAGTTTGGTCTGTGCTACCTTAACTCGCACTCCAGCAATGGAATGAAGTTGCAGTATGTAAAAGTACAGAGAATTGCTTGTAATAGAGTTTGCCAGAAATTTACTTTTGTCAGGCAAAAGGGAAATGAGGGGCAGATCCTTCAGAAACATGTGGCCTATTTTCAGTTGTAAGAAGGGTGAGTTTACAAATGGTATTTAGCCACAGACTGGTTCTACTTCAGTCCCTACTTCTGCTTATTTTATGTCCACATTACTGGAAGTGAAGAGTTCCCTGAAGAATTTCTAATGCCTCCTCTCTGCTATATTGTCTCCCAGGCAAAGCTTGACACCATTAAGAGAGTAGTAAATTTAACTTCAGTCTTAAACATTCGTCCCGTCATTTTTCTCATGTCTCACTAATGTGCCATCACATACTCTGGCTGCCAGAATTACTTCTACTAAGTAGTCAGGATTTCCATGCCCTGCTACTTTTGTCTTAGCACAGGAGCTCTATAAAGCTGTCTGGAAAAGTAATTTAATTCATAATTGAGAGGAAGATCTGCTCTGTATTCCTCTATGCATTCACTGATCTCTCTTTTCATTCCTCCAGAGAAGATGTGCTGGTCCCCTGCCCAGAGCAGCAGCGTTGCCCACAGCAGTGCACATATGCACAGAAGTGCTCTTGGCCAAAACAGGAACATAGCAGGATTGTGCCCAGGCTGGAAGCCCCTCTTGCTCATTATCCCTCTCCGGCTAGGGATTAATCACATCAATCCAGTGTATATTGATGCATTTAAAGTAAGGGATTCTTCAGAGACTTGTTTGTGTATGTGAAAAAATTCAGGTATCTGTTATATCAATAAACAAATCAATTTAATTTTTCTCTCTTTGGACTCCTAGGAATGCTTTAAGATGCCACAGTCTTTGGGAGCATTAGGAGGGAAACCCAATAATGCCTATTATTTTATAGGATTTTTAGGTAAGGAAGAAAGAAACTTACTCCAAATATCCATATGATTGAAAAACAAAGGATTTTCTTTGGAAGGGGCAGTAGTAAGTATTTTAAGCATGAGAATGGAGAAGAATAAACTTACCTCACACACTTCTGGAACAGTATGAGACTATCCTTATAGGAACAGAAAAGGAGCAGCAAAGCTTGACATAAAAATATGGAATGATATAAGCAAGAGCAAGACACTAGGAAAAGTTTATAGCATTCAACAAGTGCCAAATGTCACTGTTGCTTAAATACTGAAATTTTCTAATCATTAATACTTTGTAGTGAAGAGTATCTTGTTTTATTCTTTTGCTTCCTGGCTTTCTTAAATTATTTCATAATTTTAATTTTTTTTTCTCAAAGCAGCATGTCTTTCACCTTTTTCTATGTCTTCCTTTACTAATTAATGCAATAGTTAATCCTAGATTCATCCTTTCATATTTCACCCTTGTCTGATCTGTAACTTCTTGGATATTTTGTTCTTTTGCAGAACATGAGCTGTTTTAGTCAGACTTACTCCCTCAGTTTCTGGGTGAATGCCTAATAGGATTACAGATTGCATTTGTGGTCATCCTGTATCTTTGATCTGAGGAATATTAGGGATTACTACAGTTGAGATATTTAAAAACTCTACTGGACTTCATGTAGATAATGGAAAGTATGTGACAAAGGTAGAGAAAACATCCAAAAATCTACCCTAAAAGATAACAGTGGAAAATTATACTAAATGCCCTGTGGGATACTGTTGTGCTGGGCTTTCCAGTTCTCTTAAAGACTCCCTAGCTAGAGTTGAGATACAGACTATGCTGATAATCCAATCTATGTTTTACAAGTCTGGATGGAATAAGTGTTTATTACTGCTTTGTACTTGTTATCACTATATAGATTTTACACCCCCAGGCAATGAGCTGATCTACTTGGATCCTCACACCACTCAGAGTTTTGTAGATTCAGAAGAAAATGGGACAGTTGATGATGAGAGCTTCCACTGCCAGCAAGCCCCACACAGAATGAAGATCATGAATTTGGACCCTTCAGTAGCTTTAGTAGGTGTTAGAAAATAATAAATGGGTGTACTTAATTCAAAGCAATACTTCTGTGTATTTTTAAGGGCAGCAACATGTTTCCTTGATTACAGTGATGATCACAGGGCACTTTTCTGCAATCTGAAATTCAACACATAGTTGTTTACGTATTAACTGCATAGGATCCATTAATTTTATTTCTAGCAGGGTATCAACTGTTTGTATCCTGAGGAGCCAATTAAGTTTCTTTCCTGAGCAACATCAACATTTTCCAAGTAGTTTGTAAGTCAAAGCAAGGAAATTAATCAGGTTTCCTTATTTTATTCCATCACTATCATCTGTGCTTTGGTTGCTCTCGAGAAGATACTTACCTGAGCTTGTTTTATTTAATCTACAAATCTTCAAGTGGAATTGTAGGAGTCATCCCATATAGGTCACAAGAATACTGTAGTAGTTGAAGAAATTCAGTCTGATCTCATGCCAGTGTCTTTGGTTGGGTTATGGGATATTGTCACTTGAGATATAACCCATACATAGATACCATCTTTGCATCTTTAAGCATCTTTGCTTATTGACATATTGTATTTAATATTACTATGTGTATTCTTTCCTTAGGGCTTCTTTTGCAAAGAAGAATGTGATTTTGATAACTGGTGTAGTCTTGTACAAAAGGTAATACTACTATCTTTCTTTTGCTTTGTATGAAATCATGGATACTGTTCTTTTTTCGGTTAATGGAAATTCTCTGCCTGCAAATTAAATGATCCCCAGTGAAGGTGGCACTAATCATCAGGGAGAGCTGACACTGCTGATCAAGCCTGTTCAGCATTTTGCAACCCTGAGCCCTGGGACTAGGAGAACAAGTACATACATCACCTTTCTGAGTTTGTCTTCTGTTAGCAGTATTGTGTTAGTGGCTCATACCTAAGTCGTTTACTGAGAAACACAGCAAGCAGTTGGAATATAAAGCAACAGGAATGTGAATATGAAGTACCACCAACCAAAAGCATTTATTTAGAAAAAGGCTACAGAAAGCAGTTTGCAAATAACTGAAGTAGAAGATATGATGTAGCTCATCTGATAGCGGTGAAATTTTGCTTCAATAATAACTTGTTCTTCTATCTTCCAAAATCTGTTGGATTTTTTTGAGTAGATAGATCTGTCTTTTGTTCCCATTGATTAATAGAAAACTTGAACACAGAGAGGTTCAAGCAAGTAATTTACTTTTAAAAGGCAGAAGTATGCTCTTGGTATCTGTTTACTCCATGTAAACAAAATTATAGATGGATGGATATCAAAGCTCATTATAATGCACTGATAACTTCTAGGAGAGTTTAAGTGATCCATCTTCCAGGTGTGTTTTCAAGTAGGACAATACTAGAGATGTGTGAAGCAGTGATTCATGTGGCAGGTGAATGGCACCTGAAATAATGGGAATTTACAGCCTTTGTTCTTTGATAGATATACAGTATTAAAAATGTTTTTAATTAAGCAGGCAGTTTTTTGATTTGTATTCTGTCCTCAGGAGATTCTAAACCAACAGAGCCTACAGATGTTTGAGCTGGTCCAGAAGCACCCACCACACTGGCCTCCTTTCATACCTCCTACCAAGCCAGAAGTGACAACCACAGGAGCAGGTGTGGTACCACTGAAAGTGTTGCTGGGCAGCAGAGTGGGCTCCTCAGCCAACAGGAGAACCATCACAGGTGGAATAACAGGGCTTTTCTGAGGATCAAGCAATCATTGCATGATTAAGAAGCTTACTCTTACAGAGTATCAGTTATCCAAACAAGCCATGTCAAATTTACAAGTGCTAGCACAGTATATTTTTAAATCTTAAAAAATCTTTCAAAGGCAGCATTTCAGAAGGGAGGTAGGTGGGAGGGGGGTGTTGAGGGGTTTTTTTAGTAAACAAAATCAGGCATGTCTTTACATTCTAAATGGTTTGATTTATTTTTCAGAACTGATTGAATCTACTGACAAGCTATTTGAATTGGAAGAAGAATTTGAAATCCTGAGTGTATGAAGGAAACTGTGGTGACCCTTCTGAGTATTGAACATATTGCTAATATTACTTCATTGGCTTAAATTACACAGCCGTTAGCCCAAAAGTGCCTGAAATCATGGATAACAGAGCACAAACACCTGGTATCATCCAAAACTCCAACAGGGACAGTACCTTCTGTCAAAGAGCTTCCCCAGATGGAAAGGCAGTGAAAGATTTTATTATAAGACCCTGAAAGGGAACCTCTTTTTAATGTGTGTCTTTCTTGAAGACAAATGGACCTCTGAGATTAAGGCACAAGTAAGTCTGTCATCGGGCTGTATATTTGGGGAAAGGGGTAACACAGAAATGGGTATTTCTTGCTCTCATATAATGCAGTAGTTTAGTTCTTAAAGCAAAACAGTCTTCAGTTAAGGAGAATGTTTACTTCTGTTCCTATTGGTGGGCTGCATCATAGAAAAAATACATTGTCTTATTTAAAAGATCAACTTGATCAGGAGAAAATTGTTTCCTTGTTAAATATTTTAACATGTATTTGAGCAACCACACTTTATGACAAAAATGTTTCTGTGAAAGGAACTATGACTAACGTATCCGTTTGCAATAGCCTTCCTTTCCTGTTTCTGGGAGACCTCAAGAGGAGCCGGATCCTCAAATAGTTGATACAGATCACAACCACTGTTGTAGTTATGATATATTTCACCTTGACCTTAAAGTTCAATCGTTTTAACTTAGGCTGACTTTTATTTTGGAGCTAAGGTGAGTCAATTGTACCTTATTTATTTTAAAAAAGATTTACATAAGTATCTCTGTCACTGCACTTTATCTGTGCATCTAATAAATTTCTTAAGCTTTTCATAGGTTGTATGCTGCTATATTTTGTTACTTTGTTTGTGTGAACAAAATATAATCCAGGTTATTTTAAAACTTAATATATAGGCATATGCAAATTACTTAATTTTGGATTTTGACTTGTTGCCTTTTGAAACCTGTTTTGGTAAAAGTGCCTTAATTCTCCAGGTTTATCCAGAAGAGCCAGTGCAGTTTTGTTTCTTAGGAAGAGTATCTCTGTAGCAGCTATAAGAAAATCAGCTCAGAATAAAGGCAAAAATCTTCTAATTCCTTCTACAGTTCCTTTTTCCTATCAGACAGTCCCTATTCTGATCATTTTGTCATGAGAGTGTAATGGACATGAAACTCACATCTTCAGTAATAAATGACCACATAGAGAAATCCTGAATGCTGTCTCCTCTCACTTGCACTTCTGGATCAGGGCAGTGTGATTTTCACGAAAATAGTCATGACCAGGGCACACTTCATCTTATTTGCCTTCAACGTTTATTAGCCATGGTTTGGAAACTATACACGTAGGAAAAATACCATTTTCTCCCCCTCTCCATAGATTAGCTGCACAGGTTAATGTTTTTTTAAACAAAGTATTTCTTCTTCATTAATACATGAAGATACCATGCTTATGACATCAGTTGCAGCCCTCTCCTCCCCACAGAAAAAAAATTAAAATGAGCCCTTGCTCTGAAATACTCAGTCTTGGGCAGTACCTGCTAAAAAAAATAATTAAAAGACCCTCAGTGGAGTACCATGTGCTTATTCCCCAAGCCACCCTTAGCCTCTTCAGAGAAGCCTAAGCCTTGCAGAGCTCTTGTAGGATTCTGGGTAGGGGTGAACAGATGGATGGAAATGGGGCTGACGGCAGAACAGCTGGTGATTGGAATTCTTGCTCCGTGCACCTGACAAGAAGTGGCTGGTGGAACTGGATGGAAGCTTGGACAGGGGCATCAGTGGAGCCACTTACTTCAAGAGAAGCAACTCTCTAAAGACAGTGGTGCTTAAAATGCATAAAGCTCTGATTCTGGGGAATAAATTAATTGGGTTTGCATGTGTCATGTTCAAAAATAAAGCCAAGTCCCTGCAGATAAAAGACCTGACCAACATGTCCCTGTAGCACCACAGGAACCCAGTGGCTGAAAATTTCATTGTACTTCGTCAGTTATCTGCATGATTTTTCAGAAGTCTCGAGCTTTGCTCTGTGCACACAAGTGTTTTAAAGTGGCATGTGCATAACCCAGGATGTAAATGCAACATGCTCTGTCTGTACCAGGACAGCTAGGAAGTAGACTGGATATTCTGCAGGAAAGGACTGCTGCTCAGGAGTGTGAAAATGCCTTAAAGATATTTGCAAAATAATCCAAAGCAGTTGCTGATCTTTCACAATTAGGAATAAGCGAGATGAAAGGCTACATTGTTCCTCACAACTTCCCTGTTCATCTCTAGTGTGGTTCAATTCCAGAACTTGGAGAGCTCTGATCACCATGTGTGAAGATAATAATGTGTTATGCAAGTAATACTTTCATATTTATTGATTATTATCTGCTTAAAATAATATCTCAGTTGTGCATTCATAATAATTTTCCAAATAATTTTATCATAAAGATTTTTAAGCCAAGGCAACAGTGTATTTGCAAGGCACTCATTTGAAATGTCCTGGAATGTCAATAGGCAAGAATTTCACACACTTGACTCCAGAGAGGTTAATGGTAACTTTAGGCCTACTGAATGAATTCATTAAAGGTATAAGCATACCTTTGTCCTGGGTTTCCCTTAAAATATACCAGGAAAATCCAGTTAGTGGCACTTCTTTTTAATTACACCCTGAAGGAAAATTAACAGTGCATACAGTAGAGATACAATTTTTTTAAACTAACAGCAATAAAGCCCAGAGGAAGCAGTATACAACACATGGTGACTGTAGGAGTAAAAAATGTACATCCCATAACTGCTTACTCCTGTATCTGCATAAGCTTGCATGCCATCTAGTAAAGGCTCTACTTTTCACACACACACAGCTTGAATAATTACAAAATAAGTGTGCCAAAGCTGCCTCAGAAAGGAAATTTAAGTTCATAGTAATAAAAATGTTGGCTAATAAAGTATGGCTGCATATCACCTGCGTATCATTAGCTGCAAAAAGATAAGCACAGACCTTGAAGCCAAGAGACCTGGCATATATTTCAATAGAAAGCAATGAAAAATGGTAGAGGTGTTCTGGATTTATCTTCACATGAAAAATTGCTTTTTCCCTTGGTGTAGCTCTTTAAGGTCAGCTGTGGATATCAGTCTGGATTAAAACTGATTACCTGTCACTGGAGAAAATGTTCCATCTGTGTAATAAGCAAAGCAAAACATTCATTTTTCAATTTTTCTAAGAAAATCCATTATCAACCATTAGTGCATAGTGTTTCCAGTCACCCAGCATATACTGATAAATTTTAACTAGTTCTGTGTTTCACAGGAGAATGAGTCTCCACTCCCTCACACTAGACCAAATACTGTTTGCAAAGACACTACTTAAGCACAGCTTTGGCAAAGTTTCTGGGTGAGGACTGGATGTGCCTCAGACAGAGGAGTGGTACAAGGTATGAGCTGTTATCCAGTCTGAGTAAGAACTCACTGAGACTTTCTGAGGTAGCCATAAGGGAGGGGAAAAAAACATTGAAGTAAAAACATAGCACCAGGTTTCATTAAAAAAATGGCTTCAGAACACTGGTCTTTCCCTCTTCTGTGCACAATCTCCTAGACTTGAAAGTTGATTTTTGTAGAGCTCTGACTGATTCACCCATCAAGCACACACAAAACAGGTTTGTGAATTTACCCTTATCCAGTCATTCATGTCTAATCTGGGGTAACAAAGACTGTTCCCATAACTGCATTTCTGTTACTACAAGTTCTTCATGCACACCTGGCAGCGGCTGACGCGAGTCCGAAGCTGCCCCGCTTTCAGAGTCTCTGAGGGAGGAGCACTGACAAACTGCTGCTCCTGCTCCACTGTTGTCAGCCAGAAGCTGTATTTGTTGGCGAAGTAATGGCATGTTCCCCGAGCACCATTGCACTCAATAAATGGAGTAGCTCGGAAATCCTCCAGGCAGGAACCGGGTGAGACAAGGGACTGGCCTCCACCTTCTGCCCCTGCCGCAGTGTGCTGAAATAAAGATAGCAAGTTGAGTGAGTTCAAAGGAAGAGGAGATAAAACAGAGGTTCTGGTCTCCTGGTTTCATTGCTAAAAGGAGTGAAAAAGGCAATCAAAATTAAACCCTGGCTATGTATATCTGTCTCTTGAGTCAGAGCTAGAAGGCAAAAAGCAAAGGAACATACTTAGGCTGAATATGCAGGCAGGCCTAGAATAATGGAAAACCAGCTTTCCACTTGAAAGTTGGGAAAATTTGGAAACAATAATGCTGACATCATGTTTTTCTAACAATCTTACACTAATTAGCTTCTAGGAGAGGGCAATAGAAACCTTTTTTCACTGAGAAAGAGGATTAAGTCAATACTGTAGCTTAATTACTGTTCCCACATTTAAAGGATTGAAGAACAACTGTGGCAATATTGTAATAAATGGAATTGATTTGTGCTAACTAAATTGTAACTATTTGGAAAGTTATTATTAGAAGCAATCAAGAGAATCGGTGTTACAAGGCAGATGTACCCCTTTACAGATTTTACATGTTAAAATTAAGGTACAGGATGTAGTTTTGAGATAAGCGATGTCCCAAGATGAAATAGACCTTGAGATGGACAAAGTTGGAACGATTTTAGGCATAGGGTCTAAAAATCATTAAATGTAAGACTAATTAGTAGACTTACATAACACAATGCTTAGTACGCACACACAAACCTGTAAGGTTATCCAGAGGACAAGGATGAGTATAAGCCTTCGTCCAAAGACATCCAAAAGAAGACTGAAGACCCCCTAACAACAAGTGAGGCTTGCGCCATGAAGAATAGTGACGTAAAGTCAAAAAAACTTGAAATAGGAGGAAACTTATGGGAAACATTAATGAATATGTATAAGCATACAGTATGTAAGTTTAGCTTGAAGTGCTTTGTTTTGTATGTGAGGCAGGGTGGGAAGCTCTCTCTACCCTGGTCCATTTTGTACGTGAGGTAGGGTGTGAAGCCCTCTCCGTACCCTGGTCAGTTTTGCTTATGCTTTAATCATACTGAATTACTGGTAAATTACGTATATAAATTGTATTTTTTTATTAAATTGTATTCTTTTACTAAACTGTATTATTTTATATGCTATACAATTTACTATATATATATATAATAATTTACTATATATATATAATATACAATTTTAAATGCTATACAATTTACTAAATTGTATTCATTTTTAATTAAACTGCTGTTAACTCAAAAAACCTAGTTGTCAAAATTCTAATTTCATTTATAACAATATGGAACTTAGGCAGCAGTGTTACCAGCAAAACTGATCAGGGCAGGTGCTAAACAGAGCACACACAGAGCTATAGCAACTCAGCTGATGAAGAAATGGACTGAGGCAAGAAGAGACAGGGTTCCAGGTTCCTGTAAGTAACTCACAGAACACAGTCTCAGTAACCTTATTAGAGAGGAGAAATCAAGATGTTTAAAGCTGCCTCTGCACTAGCAGTAGTGTCCTTACCATAAGGAAGGAATATCCTATCCACAGGCTGCGCCAGCCCTGGGGACACTGTGGGATGGTGATGTCCTGGCTGTGCACAGCCACAGCCTGCGAAGGTGCTTCACACACAGAGCACCGGCTGATGTACTGTGGGATCTGAACGCTGTATACAGGCATCATGGGGATGGGAGCAGTGGTGGAGAGCCAGTAGGACTTGTCGTTTCGGCTGGCATAATAGCACACTTCATTTATGTTGCAGTAAATAAAAGGCATGGTGCTGAAGCGAGGCAAACATGAGCCAGCAAAACCTGGAAAAATTGGAGAAGTGGTCATACCAAGTATCTGCCAAATACTCCAAGTCATACATACCAACATTTAGTGGTGAGGATGGCAT